AATTTCAGAGCCCTTGACCACACTGTCTCGCCAATCACGCGTACTTAATTCAAGAGTTTGCAGCAGAAGCGTTAACAAATCTGAATGTTGTATTCTCTCCGTCTGCTTGCAATTACATCATCGCTTTTTTATATCTGGTCATGGTGACTTGCATTCGTCAGAAAACGTTTTTATCGAGGTCGTAGCACCATTCCTGATATTGGATCATTTTGTCAATCTCGAACCATATGCGCGCTGCTGCCAAAGTCCACAATCAGTCGGCGCTTGATATTTGTCCGCCACTTATTCAGCTGATGCGCATCGTGCGATTTCCTTGCGACTCATTATTGCTTTACATACGTATCACCATACCCAGTGCCGAATTCGTCGCACAAGTTGCATGTTCTTTTGATAAATAATTCTTCGATCACGTTGGCCAAAAATGGCGTCTGAGATTGACCTACTCGTGCGTCTCTTGTTGTCCTCAATGTCTACGCCCATCGACGTTTTAAGCGTGCACAAATCGTATCTCGACAGATCTATGTCGTCTTAGCTTGGCAGTTGGTACTATCTCCAAGCTTGCGCGCAACCAAGACTCGCTATAATTTTTTTTGCTGACATAAATATCGCATTCTTCATCGCCATTCAGGTGTAGTAGTTAGTGCGAATATTATAAGCTCCTTGTACTTTTTTATACCTGTATTTATGGATGAGATCTGTACATCGGTAAGGTTTACACGACGGCCACGACTAGGGGCACACCCCACTTTTGCTACGGGCACACCCTCCCACCTAAAATGATAAAATAACTTCACATTTTATAGTGCAGAATAATATGTAAAACACTTGGTCGCTTACCACTGCTTCCTATCTCCCAACCTTATACGGCAGATCCACTCTTGCGAGATTCTGTCAATCTATCGTCGCCAGGGCGGTATCCAAACGAGCAATGGCTGCTGGAATCTCTACTGTCTGAACACGGTATCCAATCCGATGGTACGATGCCGAGTGACCTGACCATCGGCAGTGGCAACGACATTTTTTTTACGCTTTTTTACCGATACAGGCACGGGCAAACACATAAGTCTTGCAGTATGTGTAGACTTTGAGGCTACGGTCTATGACGAGGTACGTACCGGTACATATCGTTAAAATGTCCCACTTCGGGCAGATCATCTCGGGCAAGAAGTTACAAACACTTACGCACGAAGTATTTCATCAACATGCTTGAATTCCGTCGCTTCCTTTCACCGTCACTGAGATTGTGACGGTTCTATAGGTCCTGCCACGATCGCACTTGTAGTGGACCAGTTGCAGACCCCGCTTCGTTTTCGTTGATCTGGCGACGATGATGGCATACCCTTGATAGCTGCAAAACCGTTTGAAGTTGTTTTCATTCCGTTCCTGGAAAGAAAGCTGGTACCATTGAGAGAGGCAGGTGGGGGTTAAAGCTATTCCAGCGACGGTTGTCACTCTCTCGGGCTTTCGTACGCCATGATGTGAATTCTGCTGGTATATGATGATTATCCGGTGTTTTCAGTCGTATTGTATGAGTATGAGGGGACATAGACGCAATTGCGCGGCCATGAAAGGTGTTAAAGACATGTTCTTCTTCTTTTGCAGTAGATGGAATTCACGTCCTTAACCGCCAGATCCTTAGGCCAAACACTATCAGCAATTCGGTTAAGTGCTTCTACATACAATTGTACTGTGCCGTACACGCACATTCTTCTGCACTATAAAATGAAAAGTCCTTTTTATCATTTTAGGCGGGCAGGTGTGCCCGTAGCAAAAATGGGGTGTGCGCCTAGTCGTGGCCTTTTACAACGCGCTATCTCATTATTTATAATGCATAATGACACTGTATTCTCGATTTCTCACCACTTATCGCGCATCGCATTGAAATAGGCTCTACTTCATTGCGCAAACATCCTCCGAGATTGCGGGTTTTGTACTTCGCAAAACACAGGCAGACATATACCTGTTGACCCATGTCCATCTCATTGCAAAGTCAATTGTTCAATCTTTTCTATCACGCGCCAAACCATTTGTGTAGATCATTTCCAAAGAATACTTTCCATGCTTATTTTTGCGTCTTTCACTAGTGGTGTCCACATTCATACCCCTTCCCTTCGTCTTATACTCTGTTAGCCTTCTTCGGTGCAAGTCGTTGAACTTGCGTCACTCTGATGTGCTATGCGCTCGCGTCATCACAGTTATTCATCTCATCACTGCACGAGTAGTTCTTCGCTCTTTTGCATCACGTGACCACTGGTCTAGATGCGCGTTCTTTCGTACTGCTGTATCACGTTGGCGTCGCGCTTCCTCGAATACACGTGCCACAGCTACCAGCGATACTTTGCGCTGTCCTTTTTCTCTACCTAATTCGTTCGCTTCCTGTCGTTCCGTCGCTCACTTTATTCTTCTCTCGGCCCGCTCGCATCTGCGCATCATGCTGGCGCATAAGGTCTTTTCACTCTTCCTGCTGCCGAGCGTGCAATGCGGCCAACCAATTTGCATGTGCTCATATATGAGCTTTGAGCGATTCGCTTTACGGATTATACGCTTAGGACGATTCGCCTAGAAGCTGTTTTCCGACCATTTAACAATGTCCATGCACAACGGCTTATGCTGCGTGGTATTGCGCCTGCTGCTGAGTCTGCGCTCCTGCCTTCGCATGCAACATGTCTCACGTTACCGCGAAGTCTTTGTCGTGTCGTCGTTTCTCCTCTCTCACTTCACGTTGCGGCGTCCGCACTCTTGTGGCTCGAACTTGTGAATCTATGCCTAGCAAGTTACTGAGCTTGCTCACCTTCATTTGGTTTCCATCTCTTTTAGCAGTGGTGTTAGGTGAAGAGAAGAGTCGTTAGCGCTGTAATACGAAGACCATGCTATTGTTTGTTGCTCCTGTGGTATAAATCTTTCCTTATTATCGTTCATGTCCATTTAAGCTGACTTTTGTAGCCGCAGCGGACCGAAGCTAATATATTTACAGCCACTATATCGTCCGCTGCTACTTACATTGCCCTATCACGCCTCCAAGCATATTACAACAAGTGCCAAGCGACGATCGAACACCATTAATTGCAATTTATAACACTGTCGTCAGCTGAAGCCGCCGTGCGTCTGATTTGCCTGTCCGTGGCCCTAACTAGCATTCAAGAATTTCCATGCCAAAACGCTTTTTCTAGTCTAGACTTCCGGTTAGTCGGGGAAGGCTATGCGAAAAAAGTTTTGCTCTACATTTGCGTGTCTGGGTATCACTAATGGTCGTTAGTCCATTTCCTATAGACAGTTCCGAACAAAGATTGTATCTGCTTTTGTCGCTAGATACGACTGTATTTGCTTCACCTTTCGCGCCGCTGCGAGTCGTGTTACGAGCGACGCAGTTGCCGCAAAACTGAACGCGGGTATGAGATTAAGTCACCTTGGCCTTTTAGACTTGAACCTATCAGAAAAGGATTGAAGTGGAGGTCGTGATCGCTATCATTCCTTTTTTACTTTTCATCTTACAGAAGGGACAGCGGAAGAATACAGGCAAATTTTAGACTACGCTTTTCGCCCTACACACTACGTGTGTGCAGTACAACAGCCCTCGTATCGCTAGTTTTCTTTAGTTGATGACTCGCGTCCGCTCTCTTGCTTTGCCCGCGCCGCAGATCTCTAACTCAGCAGTCGACTCTTCTCTGCTGGTTGCGCTGGTACTTGCGTACTTTGATGACAATTGTGAACTAAGGAACATATTGACGTGGTAACTACTACCATCGACATGCATTGTTTCCTCTCTCATGGTCTTGCGTTTTTCTATGGACCTTATCGTCATCATCGATACACTAGATAAAGATATATGGTTGCCAATACCTTACGTGATCATTATCAAATTAAGTGTTCGTGACAGCATCGGTCGATCTGCAACAGCTAATACGATTCCAACGTTGCTCATCATCAGGCCCAGGCAGTGCAGTCCATTCCGAATTGTACCTGGAGGCGAATGCACTTAGAATGACATGTAAAAGCTGCTTTAGAATGCGGTGTTTTCACAAAAAGATGGCATAAGAATAAAAAATATAAGTAGTAAATATTTAATCTACTGTAAAATGAATAGCTTATACGTGAAGATGAATTGCTTTGAGTAATCAAGTCACGAAGAAGGGCCTGACATAAGCTATTTGCGTCGAAATGTAAATGAAACTCGTGTAATAAAAATATCCACGCAACACTAAGATTCCAAGAGTTAGATTTATCGTTGTACAATTGTGGCCCACAAGATCTATCTAACTGGAAAAGTAATTAAATATTAATGTTTCTCTACAAAATTGCAACTACACTATCATAGAAGCTATATAGATGTACAGTATGGAGGACATGATGGTAAACAAATACTAGCGGGGTATTAGACTCTATTATAAATATTTGACGAAGATGTTGGACTTGTGCCATTTGATGCACTACTGCGTTTCAATCAAATTTAGTTGCTTTGTTGCGGACCGAAAGGTTTGCCCACTACCGTCGTGTACGACCGTTTATTACACGTGATACTGAGAGTACTAGCGCTGCATCGAATAACATACGATGTTCCCCATGCGATATATAGACAAACAAAGTTGTGGATGGAAGATCGACCTATAAAGATAGATAAACGGAATGATGGGTTAGTAAGCAATTGCCTGGTCCTTGCGAATGTGACACTGGGGGACGAGCATAGCCTAGTCGTAGGATCAGGACATTCGTTCTTGCGTGCAGATCTCGTGCGTGCGTAGTCGTACTGAACAATCACTGACTGCACACAACTCACCTTCTGTTTGTAGCTTCATACGGGGGCCAACACCTTCAAAAATAAGCTAGCTCTTCCCAACAGGCTGGCTTCGTCACTTACAGGCTAGCATACGAAGCGCGGACCGATGTGAATACAGGTTACCCAACACTGCTCCCTGAAAATCAACTACGTCAATCTCGTTATTATAATCGTTGCGTCAGCCAACATGCGTGGGAGCAGTGCATTCATAGTAGCTCGAACCTTTTCATGCCGAAGTCACATTGTCCCACGAGTTGGGCTCGTACAGACCAATCATGACACCGTCTGGCGAGCGCAATGCCGCCACCTACAACGACGGCCCCCACGGCAACAACAAACGGCGTCTAAGTAATGATGCACTGTGCTTTCGACTCGACTGTTTCTGCGCACCTTTCCATGTGCCGGGTACTTGATCGGACCGTCCATGATCGCCCCCAGCATCAGCAGCCGCGGCACTGCGTCACTAAGCTCTGGAATGACAAAGTTCAAAAACGGCGAGTACCCGCTACTACAGGCAGCCTCGCTGTACTCCCCACAACAAATTACCACTTTGTGAAAACCCGTTGAAAGGCGCGTCAGGACAACAGGCAGTAGCCCACGGACCTCTGGGCCAACTTGACGCACAACGGCACGCCCGTCTGTGTATCGAACTCGGCAAACGTGTCGGACGAGCAGAGCAGCTTCAGCCCCAGCCCTTCCTGGTAAAAGTGCGTAGAGCGTGCCAAGTCCCGAGTGAGGACCATCACGTGCCGAAGTCGACTCATAAGGACCGGTAATAAAATCGAACGCTTTTTTATCTTCGTCGTGTCCGACACAGACTTGTTTAAAACATTGTCCCCCGTGAGTCCCAGAGTCCGCAGTTTAGGTCGTCCTAAATCTCATTCTTCACGAAATTGTCGACAACTACGTACGTTTGGCCTCGTCCGTCAAAGTGTGCACATGCTCAAGACGGCGTGCAAAGTGGCTGCGCTCGCAGCGGCCGTCGCGTGCTACGTGCGGCCTCAGCTGCTGCTTCCACTGCGTCTACTCGCTCTGGAGCTCGACCAGGCGGACATCGAGTCGTCGGGGCGCACGCTGCAGGCGCTGCTGAGCTACGGTTTGGCGTGTGGGGTCCGGCCTTCCTGGCTCCGCGTGCTGGTGGCTGTAGCGGCGCTGCATGTCGCCTTGTGGGGTCTCCAGCGCTCGGAAGACTCGGTGCTGGGACTCGACGTCGACTTGGAGAAGGACTTGTTCGCAGCGGGCGCTGTCGCGTGTTTCGCCGTGGTTGGGAGTATCCTATTGTTTGGCAGCAAGCGGGACGCCAGAGACCGGTTCCAGTGCGTTGATGTGATGCACGGGGGTGAAGCACGGGGGTGAAGCATGATGACCAGGGGTGATGGCATTGATGTTTGTTGATGTGCTACCGTGTGTGCTACAGGAAGAGACTGGTGGCGTTTTACACGAAGCACAACCCTGGAAAACTCGGGCAAGTGGACGAACTGGTTGAGAAGTACGAACTCAACGAAGAGCTGCTGTTCCAGCGGCTGCATCGAAAGTACAATGCACTGGCGGCTGGCGCTGATAATCACTCGGTGATGAAGAAGATTGATGAGAGTGAGTTTTTGTACGAAGAGGAAGAAGAGGACAGAGTGGAGTCGGACGAGGAGGTTAGCGATTCGGTGGACAAGGCCGATGGACACGTGGTGCGTAAGGAGGCACTGCAAGATCGCTTCAGCAGCGGGACGAGGAGTGCAAGTGCTGGAAACGCTGGAAAAGTGCGCGTGGGTGCTAGTGTGCCAGTGGCTCGACAACTGGACATTGAGGATTACGACGAGTTGGACGGCACGCCTCCTGTATCTCCACGCACGGCTGGAACGTTGGCACACACGCGCCGCCAGTCGTCCGCACTGATAAAGAAAGCGATTGTGGATGCACGTCAGAAACAAAAAGAACGCATTGAGCGCCGCATTGCTACGATGGCGTCAAAAAAAGGAGATGGCTACGCTGGTCACTAGCAGGACGTTTGCGAAAGACGCGTGCTAAAGTCTGATTGGGATCGAAGCAGTACGACAAGCGTGACAGTAAGTTCAGCTCAAGCGCCATTCACTGATTGTGTTAGTGTTGACCAGTGGCAAAAGCGTAAGCTATTTCTTACACAACGATCTATCTCTTCATGATGGTTGTGTGATCAAATGGTGTACCCTTCCGGCAAGGACTTTATGTAGTCGCGTCTTCTTGTGCGCACTCTGTGTGCCGATACGTGCACCACAAAAGTGCACATGCTATCGATGGTCTTTGCAACTCCAAATGCAAAGCTACCAGTGAGTAGGCGTACGGCAAAAGTCAAACATCTCGGCAGCCATTTTCTATCTGTATGAGCGTGTAAATGTTTCTCTGTGTAGCAGTGTGTAGCTGAGTGTGTAGAAACCTGTGTCGGAGAAAGAAAGATATGCACCATGCTCGCTTTACCCGTAGTGTCGAAAAAACGACGAACAGTAAGAAAGTGATAGCTACGCATCTCGCTTGACAGCAGAAGGAGCTCCCTAGCTTCCTTCTCGATTATATACATGTGATCGGTGGCATAGTTTTACTTTTCTTGTTGTTGCACGTGCAAGACCAGCCACTTTCTCTCGTTTCTGTCATTCTTCTCTTCAACACGTCAACACAAGACCAACGAGTTGCTGTGTTACACAACAACTACGGCCACAATACGGGTAAAAAATCGCACCTTGGAACGCAACAGTCATCTATCGAGCCGCCAACATTCACCATCCGAAAAGGATACGTCATATCCAAAGCTTGGCTTGGCTCTCTGGACTGGATTACATCGATCATGGGGCAAGTTCCAGTGCTTGCCTGTTTTGTCAACAATGGCAGCTCAGTTACCCGCTACGACCGGCAAGTGTGCTTGGTACCACAGAGCCAACGTCAGGCAAACTGTCGCAACCTGTTCGTGGGCACAAGCGAAGGAGAAAACGTTTGACAAATTGTCAGGCAATACCCGAGCAAATAATAATGTGTGTACAAAGCTTCCGTAAATGGGACGTGTCCGAACCAAGAGACTGACGGAAACATGTATGACGTAATGCACGTCTCATGAAAGATGTGCTTACCCGATGTTGCAAGTCCTCAGCCACGTGCTTGTTACTGGACGCGCCGAAGCATGGCGATTTAAGACCGGGGTCCTGCGTGAAGTAGACTGAATCATTGTTTGTCCATGTTGGTAGCGTAACCCTTGCAGGCTGCAGCTCCCACAGACGAACCAGGTACACCTTTTTCGTCCGTTATCGTGTCGCCGTTTCTACAAGTCCCGAGTTCCTAAATGGAAGACAAGAGCTAATGCATTCGCAGTCGGCTGACTTTTCGATCAGTTTTTCCCAAGGCCAAAGATTCGAACGCAAAGCCCACTACTGCCGTTTTGGTCCAACTTGAGGCCCTCCTGATGCCCATTGTAAACTTTTGTCGGGTAACACGCGCTTCCTTACTGCTTCAACGTCGAGGAACACGTTCGTCAATAGGGAGTCACGACGCGTACTAGAACCACATGAATATATATCCAGCTCACACCCACCGCTGTACGTTGTACAACATGCGTTCTCAGCTGCATTAGTCGTGTCTGCAGGAAGTCTTGTACACTGAAAAAGTTCCAAGGCCAACACGACGGTATAGTGGCTCTTGAATAGCCTTTTTCTTCTTCTTCTCCATCAGCTGTCTTCGACGCCCTTCTTACTGGTGCAATTGAGCCACGTCCAGGGAATTATATCGCGTACTCTGGAAGCAGTTGACCAGAACGCAATGGATTGCATTGGTATCTCATGAGACAAACGGAAGAGCGGATTCAATCAGTTGTTGTCGCAGCACCTCATGCAACGAGTCGGTTGTACCCATGTAGTGTGTCGGGACGGGGTTGGCCAAAAGATGGCTACATTTTGATCTCTCGTCGCGTATGTGGTGCACACACACACACCACTCGCGTGAATCCAATTTTGTAGCGGCTGCAGTATGGCGCTGGACGCGTTAGGCGCGAGCGACTGCAGCGACGCTCCTGCCGCTGTCCCGACAGAACAAGCGCACGATTCTGCAGCCCAAGTCGATGGAGAAGATGCGGACCGTCTCGTGTCTGCTGAAGATGACGAGGGCGACGAGGAGGAGGAGCAGCAGCACGAGACGGCAAGAGGTCTCAGCCAGTCACGAGATGGAACAGAGGACGACGCGATGGAGCCATTACGAAAGGCCGAAGACAACGAACCGAGTGGCGAAGTGGCTACAGGTGAATCCGATGCAATGACGGACGAGACGATGGAGGAGGCGGATGACTTGACGCTCGATGCGGCAGCGTCTGTGGCTTCCGATCTGATCGCTCTTGAGCGTAGTGACGACACAGCGTCGATCAGAACGAGTGATCTGAAAGCCGCCGAGTGCCAATCAGATGGCACTGCAGAACAGAGGGATAATGGTGTGGAAGACATTGGTGACGGTAGCGGCAATGGCTGCATGAATGGTGTTGGGATGCCGTTGCCTGAGGTAGCAAGTACGACTGAATCGGGCGGAGCGAATGATGATGACGGCGTTGTAGCGACGAAACACAACGACACAGTGGACCACGTGTCCGTGTGTGCATCCGTGGCTCCTTCTGTCACCGTTGACACTGTTTTACCGGCAGAACCTTCGACACCGCCATCGAAGAAGATGGGTGATAGTTCAAGTGAAGAACGAGTCGTTGAAAACGATGAATCGATGGAGACTGCATCAGCAGGTGATGCATCGACCTCGCCAACGCCTGACATGCCGGTGTGCGTGTCGGCTAGTCATTCCGTCACCAGCGAAAGCATTGTTGCTTCGGGAGAGCCTTTGGATACGTCTAAGGAGACAAATGAGGTTGTGTGTGAAAAACAAAGTGCACAAAACGATGACTCGATGGACACTACGGGTGAAGACAGTGCACCGACTATGCCAACGCGTGATGTGCCAGGGTGTGACTCGGCCAGTCTATCTGCCGCCGGTGAAAGCACTACTGCGCCGGTTCAGCCTTCGGTACCATCATCCAAAGAGACGAGCGACATCTCGAGTGAAGAGCAGCAAGCTGAAAATGTCGATACGGGGGACAACGTAGTGCAAACTACTTCTCCGCATACGCTCGATGAAGATGAATGCGATACGCTGGCACCTGTGGCGGTGGCATCCTGCGTACCCCACGGAGATGATGAATATGACCCTGCCAATCCGTCTTCTGCGGAAACTCCGGTGCGAAGCGATAACACAACAAGCTGTACTAACCATCCTTCAGCTGCTGAGAAGGAGGAGTATGATCCAGAGCATCCGTTCGTGACACCGTCAGCACCTAATGAGTCCGTTGCAATGGAAGTAAGTGCCGTGACGCCGGCCAAAAGGAAGGCTGATGACGAGACCAATTCACCTTCTGACGGGCCCGAAAAAGGCTGTGAAGATTCCAAACGGCTTCGTTGCAATTCTGACATCAAAAGTCCCCGCGATGGCGACCACAAGCAAGGTCGTCATCGACGCGGAAGCGGAGACACTACCCTTTCTTCCAGCAGCAAAAAGAAAAACGGCGAAGATGGTAATTACAAGGGACTTTCTGCTGCGGCGTGGGATCGACTCATGGATTTTCAGACAAGTGGTGAGTTCCGAGTCACCCAAGTGAGTCGAGCTGCGTTTGCATCGGTTGGCGCCATGCCTGAGTTTGCTCAAATCGCTATCATTGCTCGATTCGTGCGCACACCGATGCGGGAAATTCGCGACAAGAATGGACAGCTGATGCGTATTTATCGGGAGTATCAGAAGGAGAATCCACAGGTCGCGGCGCTGCAGCCTGTAGATGCCTTTATCTCGGACTCCAAGAGTGACTCTGGGCTATTCCGCTTTGGGTATGCTCCTCCACAACCAGCGACGGGTACATCGACTGTCCAGGTGCCGTATCAGCGGGATCAACTTCCTGACGATGTCCCGGTGAGAATTTCTCCTCGACATGCAAGGAATAAAACGGCGCGGTCAGATCAAGACATGCACCCGCACAAAAATGTTGACGAGTTTGGGCGCGCTGTTCACTTGAACAAGGAACTTGCAGACGAGCCTACTGCATTGACATACCTTGGCAACGAGAGGTCAGTCGCCGACCCTCCATTTTCTGCGCAAAATCGCGAAGCCTCGTCTGTCCACGCTACGCCACCGACAGTAACAAAAGGAAGAGCTGAAGATCCTCGTCGCCGTGAACAGCCCCGCATTCAAAATGGCAACGGGGCTGGACGGGACCCACGTCGTCATAGTTCAGTGTCAAACCGACAAACGTCTCCTCGCGGAGGTTTGTCCTATGCTGCAGGCTCGAGCGATCTGTACGAACGTCTGTCAGCACCGGTCAGGGCTGTAGTCGACAGTATGCGCCGCGAAGGAAGGTTACAAGAGTCGCTGAACGATAACGTGATCACACGGTTGCTGCATTTGCCGGAGCGCGTGGCGCTTCAAGCAGTCGAGAACTTTAGCAACGTCGATCTTTCGCAGGTGGAGAACTTGCAAGGTTTTCTGGTGGGAATCATCAATCGTGTCAACGAGAAGGCGATTGCTTCCGAAAAGCTGCACCGGCCGCAGGTGCCATCTCCTCGAGGACGTCCTGCTCCAGCGGGTCCCAATGGCGGCCGGAACTATGGAGCACCTGCGCAGCATGTGTCAGTGCTTGGTGGGCCTCCTCAGGGCGGGCGTTTGAACAGCAACAATGGAGTAAATGGCGACGGCTACCAAGGCCAACTGACGCCTATGACAGCCGATCCTACTCCATCGCCGTACGATCGTTCCTTTGATGCCCCGCAAGATACTCGGGATCCGCGGCGTCGCCAGCCAGCACCTCAGGTGACATCCCAATACGGTGGAGCAGTACGAGCGCCGCAATTAGTAGGCACTGGCCACGGCCCGATTGGTATGCACTCGTTCACGGTGTTGCCTGTGTCAGTGCAGAACCACATTCACGCGTTGGTAGCAGATCGGACACTGGCGTCGTTAGAGGAGCTTGGCGGCAAGTGCTACGAAGTGCTGGGACAGCTTTCAGAGCCGCTGGCAAACCAAGTGCTTACCCGATTTGCAGGTGCCAACCTCTCGAACGTTCGCAACAAAAGCGGGTTCCTCATTGGTGTCGTCAAGCGAGCTCGTCAGGAATACGGCTTCAATTGAGTGGTGAGAAGGGAAGATGACAAAATCAACACGCACACGTGCGAGTTCGCAGCTCTCATCTTTGTTTGGTTTTCGCTCTTGACGTACTGACAACTGCAGGCTCAGTCTTGGCCTTAGTCTCAGTAGAAACGAATACCAGTGTCGACGGCAATAGCAGCAGTAACCCATATATTTACGTCTCCGGTCTCGCCGTCGAGCGCACAACACTTGTCCTCCTTCGTCGTTGGACTGGCAACCTAAACATAGTCTGCCCTCAATAGCGGCCGTTCGGCAGCATCAAGAGAGGTTCAAAGGGTACATCCGGTAGACTGTCGTCGTCATCTGTGTTCTCTTCAGTCTCAGAACTGCGTGCTATTCCCTTGGTTCGCAACTTGCGTTCGTAGAATAGCATGTACGCACAGCTGCTTAACACTTCAGCGACAGGAGCCTCACGTACACTCTCATCGGAGACGAAAAACCACTGTGACGGACCGGCGCGGCGGTATGCTGTAAAATGGCCGTACCGCTCGTTCCCATGATGCAAAATGACCGCCGTCAGATCGTACAGCAAATATTGCTTCTTACTGGCCTCGCTGACGGGTGGTGAAGACACTGTAGACCGTTGAGTTGCCGAGCACGAGGCGCCATTGATCGGCTTTTGCTCGGCAGAGTCCTCCAACTCGTACTGACAGTAGACACTCATATCTAGCTCCAAAGGGAACTCCACATACGTTTCCAGCTTGACTGCTCCACCAGTTCTCCTGTAGACTTTTCGATTCAGATGAAAACAGAATACGTCCGGACTGCGCGAGAATCGCAAGCGCTTGTAGCTTGTGCTACGGCGACGCTGAATCGGCCGTTCAAGCTGTTCCAGATCAACGCTAGACGATGAGACAGCTAGCTGCTTCAGTTTGTAAATCCAATCTTTCCGCTCCAGCTGCGCGATCTCCTGATCCAATCCGAGGCTAACGCTGCCGTGCTCACGCTGTTCCATATTCTCCATCTCCTGTCGATCTTCCTCCTCTGTAGCTTTCAGCTCGTCCGCCACACTGCAGTGGCTGCACTCCACCCCATCAATAACCTCTGATTCCGTGTACAACTGCAGCGCGTCGGTAAGACGCGAGAGCTTTCGGTCGTCCAGGGCCACAAGCGACAGAGACACATCGAGAAACGGCTGGTTCTTGAGAGGCCGGACGCGAGAGCATCGACCGCACTCCAGTAAATTCACTTGTAGGCCCTGCAGCGGGTTCCAGCTTCGGTCGTCGACTGCTTGCAGTAGCCGGAGATCGCTGATCGAGCTCAACGTTCCAGTATCTTGACCGTTCGTCATTATCAAGTCGACCAAGCCGCGGTCTCGTACCGAACAACAGCGTTGCTCATTGCCCACGAGCTTGAATAGAAACTGAAGCAGCTCTTGCGAGTCCTGTCAGGCAGTACCAGCAGCACCACCACCAATACCACAACCACAACCCGTCAATCAAGACGAACACACAACGATACATAAGTAACAATAGCAACATATCAGTAACAGCAACAAAAGCAACAAAAAGTAACGAGCCAATCCATCCCCACTTGCTGTTTGTTGCCCCGGAAGGCGCTCAACCTGCTCGTGAGCTCCGCGTTCAGGATCCGTGGCGCCACAACGACGCGACGCGATTGGCCATCAGCTTCTCGGGGCATCAGCGCTGCTCAATGCATCGCGTGTGGAATCAGGTCAGCTGGGCCTATGCTTTCAGCCAGTAACAAGCAAGAACGATCGACCAGGGACGCACGCACCATCGAGGCAGTCCCGCAAGGCGCCAGTGAACGTGACCGTGCGCTTCGTGACGCGCGCGCGCTGCTCGATCTCCTCGAGGTACTCGTGGACGCTGGGCAGCGACGCTAGCGCCTGTAGAATCGCATTGAAGAAGCACGTGTTGCCCAGGTTCTGGAGCCCAGGCACGACCAGCCGCGGCGTCTTGGCCGCGAGGTGCGACATGGCTACAGTCTGTTTGTTGCAAAAGAGACAATGGGGTTCGATTGGGTTGGGTGCAGCCTTTTCGACCAATCAACATCGAGACCAAATTAAACCAATCACGTCCATGTTGAAGGGGCACGGGCGCAGCTGCCTACCACACCCACTCATCGACAGACCGACCCGACCCATCGAAAGAGTCAGTAGCTTTCTGCTGACTTATTGCAATCGAAAAGTCGTCCTACAGACTGTGGCTAGTGTCGTCTTCGTGGCTACGGCGCCATGCGGGGCACAAAAGCAGGGAGACCTGTGATCGCACGGCCGAGAATCAGCGCGTGCACGTCGTGCGTGCCTTCGTACGTGTTCACGGCCTCCAAGTTCACCACGTGACGCATGATATGGTACTCGTCGGAAACGCCGTTGCCGCCGAGCATGTCTCGCGCATTGCGCGCAATCTCGAGGGCCTTGCCACAAGAGTTGCGCTTGACCATCGAGATTAATTCCACAGGAGCATTCCCCTCGTCGAGCAGACGACCGACTTGCAGGCATCCTTGAAGACCGAGCGTGATTTCCGTGTTCATGTCCGCCAACTTTTTCTGGATGAGCTGGTTGCTGTGACAGGAATGAGAGCGGGCAAACGTCACTTGGGACTCCAGCAACAACTTGCAACGCAAGCATGCACTATCGCAGTACGTACGCAGCAAGTGGAGCGCCGAACTGAGAGCGGTCCATGGTGTACTGGCGAGCAATGTCCATGCACGAATCTATCGCGAAAAAACCACGAGATCAATCCATACACAAGTCAGACCAGCCGTGAAACACGATTACTGACGCATGCACGTACATGCTGCACCAAGCGCTCCCCAGGCGATTCCGTAGCGAGCACTGTTGAGGCAGGTGAAAGGGCCCTGCAATCATTGCAAGCTGTCAGACATGACACGGCGCACGTGCGACAAGAGTTTACGCCATTCCATACCTTGAGGCCCTTCACGTTGGGCAGCATGTTTTCCTTTGGAACCTCAACATCCTCCATGAAAATCATGCCAGTCGCAGATGCCATCAACGTCGCCTTGCCTTCGATGTAAGGGGCTGATAGACCGGGGAAGTCCTGATGCGAAGATGTCAGTACAGCCGTTTGCCATGTCAAGCACACACGATGCAAGCAGCGCACCTTCTCGAGGATAAACCCACGAATGTCACCTTCATCGTCCTTGGCCCATACGAGGAAGACGTCGGCGATCGGGGCGTTGGTAATCCAGTTCTTCGATCCGTTGAGCACGTACTTGTCTCCTGTCAGTCTAGCGCGCGTCTCCATCCTTTTAACGAACACATACACATACAGAGGCACAAGACAATGAGATCCACTAAATCCTGTATCGCAACATACCGGACACCGTACGAGCTGGGGTCGGATCCGTGGTTCGGCTCTGTCAAGCCAAAGCAACCGATGATTTCGCCCGCGGCGAGGCGGGGCAAGTACTACAAATGGCAAAGCCAATACAACACAGCGCAGTGAGTGAGATGACCGCACAAGCATCACCGACAAGGTCAATCCCCTACGCACACAGACGTGTGTACCCACGAATGCATAAGTCAAAACACACCACCACCTACCTTTTCCTTCTGCTCATCCGATCCAAAAGTATTGATCGGGTGCATCACTAATGATGACTGCACACTCATCGCCGAGCGGTACGCGCTGTCGACCTGCCACCATGCAACCACCCGCCCAATTCACCTCAAAAATCAGTCGACAAGCACACAAATCCTACAACGCAACACAACACAACCAACGCGAATCGCGTCCGCTACGCACCCGCTCGACAGCGTTCGCAATGAGGCCATAGGACACATAGCCCACTCCTGCACAGCCGTATCCCTCAATCGTGGGCCCCAAGAAACCCATGTCGCCCATTTCGTTCATAATCGAGCGATCAAACACGCCTTTTCGGTTCGCTTCGACAATCCGTGGCAGCAGCTTTGCTTGGCAGTAGTCCGTGGCAGATTTCTAGTGCACACACATACGTCGATGTATACACATACACATAGACATACAAACAGTCAAACAAACGAACGAATCGCTCGCCCATCGGTGCAAAAGTATATACAGTACCTGGATCATGGCCTCCTCGTCCGTGAGCTGATCTTGCAGCAGCAATGGGTCACGCCAGTTGTAGACATTGCGGCCGCCAGCTACGCCGCGAATCGACCCGAGCGAGCGGCGGGCGGTGACGGAGGACACAGCGAGCGACTTGGCCAGCATTGCGTCTGAGATGAATGAGGTGAATCGAATTGTGGCGAGTGGGAGTGGGAGTGGGTTTTGGTGGCCGCTGATTGGCTCGTCCTATACCGTGATTGGAAGTTTGTATGCGTTGATCGACGACGTCTGTAGAAGACCATGTGCGTCTTCTGCACGAAAACGGCAGTGGCTCAACAGCACTTCAACGTGGCATCAAGAGAGCGACTTCTCATGCAAACAAACAGCTGTTGATCGTGCCAACAAGAACACGAGCGACTCGGAGCGTCAACTAGAGAGGGAAACTGGAAGAGGAGACAAAGCTTCGGATGTCGTTGTGGCTGCGATTGCGCGATTGCGTAGTTGTGGACAGTGCGCGCATGTCTTTGCGGTGCAACTAGTGGCAAAGCACCGCTACGGTATGGCGACGAGAAGAGCAGATTTAGTGTCGTTCTTTGGTTGTTGATTGAGGAGACCGAAATGGTTGAGGTTTCGACGAGCAGGAATGGCGTTTCTGGGGTCCGTGTGACAAGACTGTCAGGTGCATCGACGAGTATGATGTCGGCATCGGTCGAAAGGTTTGTGTTAAGTACATGACTCCTACCAGCGGTCTATCTCTCTTGCTGTCGTTGACCCGAGCAGCAGGTTGAAGACACTCGATAGGTACGTTTTTTACGAAACCGGTGCGTGATGTTCCGGATAACGGCTTCTCTCTGCATGGCATTAGAGAGGGGGAATCCGAGAGAGGCGGTGGTGAGCTTACGCCTACTGATTGGCACAGTCAAAACGTGGGATGACGCGCCGTTGCGCTCCCCACTTCTACGTCGCCGTCGACCACGTTGTTCTTTTCAGCCAATCGTCGTCGTTCACTCTGCCATCGCCGTTGATTGGCCAATAAGGCCTCGCATCGATCACCCCTTTGCCAACGGCACACGTAAGCGGTGGAAGACCCCCCGGCGACGTCACGTGGCGGCAGATCCTGCGATAATGAGTCAGAAGCTGCGCGATCTGATCCGCGCCGTGCGTGCGAGCAAGACAGCAGCCGAAGAGAGAGCGGTCATTGCCAAGGAGAGCGCGTTGATTCGCACGGCGTTCAAGGACCAGGACAAACAGTACCGCCATCGGAATGTAGCCAAGCTGCTCTTTATCCACATGCTCGGATATCCGTCGCATTTCGGTCAAATGGAGTGCGTCAAGCTCATTGCGAGTCCGTACTTTGCCGAGAAGCGCATGGGCTACTTGGGTCTGATTCTACTGCTCACGGACCAGGAGGACGTGCTGACGCTCGTGACAAATTCTGTGAAGAAGTGAGAAGTAGTCGTGAGCAGAAAAGGAGGAGGAGGAGGAGGAGGAGGAGGAGGAGGAGAAGGAGAGAGGGAGAAGAAACGACGCGGTAGCCTTTTGCACATCGGTTCTGACGGTTTGTGTGAGGTGGACGTGACGTTGTAATTTGTAGTGATCTGAACAACCAGAACCAGTTTATTGTGGCTCTGTCGCTCATGGCTGTGGGCAACGTGGCTTCTGTACGTACGGGAAGATAGGGGATTGCAGGGAAAAGCGTATGCGCTAACTGTGTATTGTCACTCCATCTTCTTCCGTTTTGTGTGGTGATGACGTGTCTTAGGCGGACATGGCGCGTGACTTGGTGATGGATGTCGACCGTCACTTACGTAGTGACAATGAACATCTGCGCAAGAAGGCGGCACTGGCGGCCATCCGTGTGTTTACGAAGGTGCCAGATCTAGTGGAAGACTTTACGGAATCGATCTTGGGACTGCTGCGTGCCAAGCACCACGGTGTGCTGCTTGCAGGCGTGCAGCTCATTACAGAGGTGGTGTTGCTTGACACGGCGAACCTGAAGAAATTCAGCAGCCTTGTTTCGAAGCTCGTTCGTCAGCTGCGTAATCTGCTGTCCATGGGGTACTCGAGCGAGTACGACGTCAGCGGCATTGCCGACCCGTTTCTGCAGGTTGCGATCTTGAAGCTCTTGCGGCTGCTAGGCAAGGACAACGAGGAAGCCAGCGAGGCGATGAACGATGTGTTGGCGCAAGTTGCTACGAACACGGAGACGGCCAAGACAGCTGGCAATGCAATTCTGTACGAATGCGTGCAGACCATCATGACTATCGAGAGCGACAGCGGGCTTCGTGTGCTTGCTGTCAATATTCTGGGACGTTTTTTGCTCAACCGCGACAACAACATTCGCTACGTAGCCCTCAACACGCTATCAAAGGTTGTCGCAGACGACGTTACGGCGGTGCAGCGTCATACCAACACGATCGTGGACTGTCTGAAAGATCCGGATACGTCCATTCGTCAGCGTGCACTCGAGCTTATCTACTCACTTGTGAACTCCGTCAATATTCAGTCGGTACGCAGATCGCTGTCATTTGCACTCAAATGCTGAGCTGCGGACCGTTGTCAACTAATTGGTGAACGCATGCTTACGTTCAGCTCGCTCGTGAGATGCTCAATTATCTCGTAATCGCTCCGAATGACGAGAAGCCTGAACTGTGCTCTCGAATTGCCGGTAAACACACCTGAATGGCTGTTCTGCTACTCGAGCTACATGTACCGCTTCAGCAAATACTAACGATATGGTATATGCTACTTGTAGATGCGGTTGACCGGTTTGCGCCCTCGAGCCGGTGGCACATCGATACGCTGATCACGATGCTGTCGATTGCTGGTTCGACACTGCCGGACGAGCGGATATGCAGTTCGCTCATAACGCTCATTCAGCGCAACACAAATCTGCACGCTTACGTTGTCCACAAGCTCTTCTGGGCCCTTCGCGACGATGTGTCTCAGCTATCTCTTGTGCACGTTGGTATCTGGTGCATCGGCGAGTACAGCAAGCTTCTGTTGCTGGACGCTCCTGCCTCGGAAGATACGCTTGATGACAAGAGCCGTGTGGAGGAGAGCAGTGTGGTTGAGCTGTTCGGGACGATTTTGCGTCATCATGGATCGACGGACATCACGCGCGCGTATTCATTGAACGCAATGGTGAAGCTCACGACGCGACTCAGCGCTTCGACTGAGATCGCTAAGCTCAATTCGATGCTTTCTTCCTTCAAAACATCCGTGGTGCTTGAGCTCCAGCAGCGCGCTACGGAGTATACGACGCTTGGCCAGCCGCAATGGTCGTCTCTTCGCAGTGATGTTCTTGCTGGCATGCCCGCCATCGACGCATCCAAGGTGCGCAGCCGCAACGATGATCTCGTGTCGTCAGTCGTGGGTTCTGCCGACCTTCTGGGTGACGAAGATACAGGAGCGAGCACAAGTCACGGGAACACCATAGCCGCGCCAAAGCTTGTCCAAGCTGCACAGTCGAGCGCTAGCACAAGTCTGTTGGATCTGGACGACATCTTTGGAGGTGCATCAGCATCGAACGCGGAAACAACAATGCCAGCTCCGTCTTCCGCTTCGACTGCACCTCCTGCTGTGGATTTGCTTGCCGACATTTTCTCTGGTGGTTCGGCTGCACCAGCTTCTGCACCTAGTTCCGGAAGCGGCGGTGTAGTCGCCCCAGGAGCCGACGACTTACTAGGATTGATGGGCTTTGGCACACCTGCCCCTGCGCCAGCTCCTCCTGCAGCAATCCCGCCAGTGCGTGCTTACGAGAAGAATGGGTTGACTGTGGACTTGACGATCACGAAGCCCAACCCTGACGATAAGTCCGTGACGTACATCACGGCGACCATTCGGAACTCCACGGCCGTTATGATCGAGAAGTTTGTATTCTTGGCCGCGTTCCCGAAATATGTGAAGCTGAAAATGGAGCCCCCCACCGGTGATGCAGTGCCACCGAACAGTAGTGGCGCAGTCACTCAGGTCGTCAAGGTCCAGAATACTTTGCAGGGAGAGGTAAAGTCGCTCGATTTGGTTCTCGCTGCTGTCTAGATTGCTAATGCGTTTTTGTTCAGAAACCCGTGCTGATGCGAATCAAGCTCGAGTATGTTGTGAATGGCAGCAAAGTGGAGGACATGGCGACAGTCAGCAACTTCCCGTCCAACATTTAGCCAATATCCGGATGGGAACGAAGCACGCTGATGCGTGTAATCTGCTCGGCTAGAGCTTACAGTTGCATCAGCTGTCGACGATGGCAAGTCGGGACGCGTGACCTGCCTACTGGAGTACGATAAAGCCGAGAATAGGTGTTCCCGTACGAGAACGATGCCCAGCCGATGTTTGCGGTCCTGTCTAGCTGTAACGATGACGAAGGGTAAGAAATACAGCCGTGCTCGTTTCGTGTTAACAGCTATTGCGCTTGTCACCACCCTGTGCAAGTGCGAATTCGGTGCAAGCAGTACGTACGGCGCTATTTCAGCGTGGAGAGGCGGAATTGCCAGTACGCTTTCCTCACGCGGTCCGTCTCGTTCATCAGTATCTCCAGGTGTTTTTTCGCTTCGTCAACAGCCTCAGCTGTGGCTTCATTCACGAGCAAATCCACCAGCAGCGCTGCCGCAAAGATACAGTCATCTGTAGCTGCCAGTATCTCCCGCGTCTTGCCCTTCAGCTGTGCAGCAAAGGTCGTTTCGTGGCCACGCACGAGACCGCGAAGGTAGTTCCACGGACTCTCGTTGTGCACTGCCACCGCGATCTTCTCAAGCGTGTAGTCGACTTCACGCTGTCGCTCTTCGTTGCTCGCAAGCCCGTCTGTGTTGTTCAGCACGACCCACCGATGGTTCCACGCCGAGTTGTTCCGCACGTCCTCCTGCAGCATCTTGTCCACGAATTCCAGCTCTCCGTCCCACAGCGAAAAGGTCTTGACTGCCCACTGACGGTGCGCCCACGCGTGGTAGTTCTTGGCATCCACGTCAAACGACAGGGCACACAGCAGCTTCTCGTCACTGCCGTCGTTTATCATGGTGCAGATCTCGCGACGGTAGTTCCAGATCTGATAATTCTTGGGGTGCTCAAGCGCCATGTCGGCCGTGAACCGGAGCTCGGCCCGAAGGTCCGAGCCCAGGGCCTCGAGCACGCGCCGTCGAAAGTACCAGACCGTGTAGTTCGCTGGATTTGCGTTGATCACGTCCAGCGTGAGGGCCAACGTGCGTTCACTGTACTCGTTCGTCTTGAGCACTCCGCGGAAGCAGTCCATCACGTCCGTAACTGCGCGTGCAGTGAGAGACAGTCGGGGAGCACGAGACACGTGAGGGGCACGTGGACAAGAGAGACGAACGGGGGATGTTGTACGTACATTCGGGCGCGTAGGCGATGCTCACGATCGGGTCAGGGCCGTCATCTTGCGGCACTTTGGCCACATCGCGCCACGTCGGGTCGTCTCGGTACTTCATGAAAAACGCGTTTTGGACGCATGCAGAAACCACTTTTTTGTGACCAGTGCAAAGGGTTCGAGCACACGTTGCGCAACCTTCGGCGCACATTTTGGACGGCCGAAACGAAAGGAACAGCATGCAGTCGAACAAAGTCCGACCAACAGAAGCCCGAGATTAGCATTGGGCATTGCGGTCCAAAAGCACGATCAAGCTATCACTTGGGCTCCTTTGGCTCCGACTTAGGCTACTTTGCGCTTGAGGACAGCACGGAGGTCATCTGCCGTCTGCTTGGCAATGTCTTGAGACCGCATCATGAAGCGGTCGGAGATCCAGCAGACTGTAAAGTAGATGAGTCCAAACGGGAGCTGTTCGGTCGACAAGTCGCCTGCGAGACGCGGTCGACCCATCACGCGCGACGTGTAGCTCGTGGCAAACCAAAAGCCCTGCAGCAGCGAGAAGACAAACGCCACTTTGAACGCCAGCAGCGGGTTCAGCCATCGCCGGATGAAGAGCACTGTACTGACGCCGATCCCGACCGTCAAGAGCTCAAAACCGGTAGTGAAGTCGATCCCCCGTGCGCTCTGGCGCATGCGCTGCACCTCGACGAAACTCATGAGCCCCACGAGACCCGACATCTTGCTCAAGAGCGACACCCACTGCTCGTTGAAGTACACTGTCTTGGTGTAGTGCTGCAGCACCTTTTGGTTCGCTGCCTCTTCGATCGTCTGCTGGATCGCCTGCTGCTTCAGGCGCTCAGCTCGCTGTCCTGCACTCGTCTCCATTGACCGCCGCCTCGCTCGAATGAATATGCTGCGTCCCCGTGTTCAAGCCGTAAACCCAGCAGTAAAACCAGCGGTACAACCAGCGGTACAACCAGCGGTAAACCCAGCGGTACAACCAGCCGTCTAAAAGCATCGTCACAAGTCGGAAAGGTATGATATCGGTTGCTGTCGGTATCAATCGACTTGTGGGCCGGTCAAGCGTGTAATCCCCTGTGAAACCCGATATCGAGATCAGTGGACGCCAACGCTTCCAACGTCCGCTGCCTACGCCTGAGCTCCGCCGACTGACCGTATCCCTCGTCGCTCCTCTTGCGCTATGCTCCGCCGCGTCGTCCTGTCGCGCGCCGCCTTTCGTCGCGTGTCTCCACCGATGCGCAGTGTCAGCCACACTGCAGTTTGCTATGCGGAGGAGCACGAGACGCCCACGGACGGAGCAGCTGCCGCGAAAGAGAAGACGACCGACGAGCCCAAAGCAGAGCTGTCGGAGTCGGAGACGCTGCAGAAAGAGGTCGAGGAGCTCTCGAAAGCCAACAGAGACATGAACGACCGTCTGCTGCGGGCTCTGGCGGACGCAGAGAACGTGCGGCGCATCTCCCGCATCGACGTGAGCAACGCACGAGAGTTTGCCATCTCCAAGTTTGCGAAAGCGCTGCTCGACGTGTCGGACAATCTGAAGCGCGCGCACGAGAGCATTGACGTGGGGGCCCTGCAGCCCGAGAAGCAGCTGGACGCGATCAAAGTGTTGCACGAAGGTGTCGTGATGACGGAGAGCCAGTTGCAGAAGGTGTTTCGGGAGTTCAAGATCAATCAGGTGGGCGCAGTGGGGGACAAGTTTGACCCCAACGTGCACGACGCTCTGTTTGAGTACGAGGACGCCACGAAGGAGGCAGGATCGATTGGACAGCTCGTGAAGCCGGGCTACCTGTTGAACGAGCGAGTCATTCGCCCAGCGCAGGTGGGGGTCGTCAAGGCGCCTTCCAAGGCGCAGTAGGACAATAAAGACGGACGCCAAGTCTCCGCCACTTTTGCAGTTGTGCTGCCACGGCATGGACTCGGACATGGGGGATAGTTCTGTGGGGCAAGAAGCACGTACTGGTGGTCGTGCTACGTCACTCGCAGCATCGAGTGTCACGTGCAGGAGACGGCGTGGTCGAGGTATAAGAGCAAGCGCGAAGCGTATTGTATAGACGAGTTGTTTTTGCCATTGCTGTGGGTTATTGTACTGCAGTGGGCTGTCAGGTACCGGTCATGTTACGACTTGGCTGACGAACTTCAGCGAGGCGAGCGGATGTCGAACAATCCGTGCGCAACAACTGTTGTGTCGATTACGTCCGTGACTAAGCATGATGACTGATCTAGAGCTAGCGATTGACTGCCCACGTCGGATCCTGTGGTCTCCACTGAATCAGACGTTCTGTACGAAGTCGCTGTTCCGACGCTCCAAACTCCAGCTTGGAACACGTGAGCTCTATAGATTTTGATTCTAGCATCATTGCCACTGAGCAAGAAGTGCATGTCTGTCCTCACCGTAGCACCTCGTCTATCTTTGCAATCACCGCACGTTCGATGGCCCACCACTCTGTCATACAAGCACTTCGATGCATAGTCGAGATGAACTCAGCTAATGCTACATATGTAGTGCTTAGGAAGCAAAAGCCACATTCGTAGCAGTCGACAATTCTGATCGTTTACTCGGTTTTGCAGGAAGTGGAAGAAGAAATCACCGTCGAGCACGTTTCGATCAGCCGTTCTGTCAACGGGTTGCCGCCATGACGCCGTCATGTAAGATTTGCACTTGCTCGTCATTTTGACTTTGCGTCCGCCACCTCCCGTGACAGCCAACTGCACTCTTGTGTAGAAACCGAATACGTTCGTCGTATAAAAAAGTGAACGAACTCGAGAACTTGACCCGCCACAAAACGCTGCCTCTAAGTATGTAGGATTGGCTTGCCTGTACAACGCGCTCGCTCATTTCGCTGGCTCACTCACACAAAAATGCGTCAGTCACACACTTTGGACAGCAGCGCACGCATTAGCTCCAACGCATAGTTCAGCTTTGACGCGCCTTCACACAAGTGCCCTGTAGTTACAATGCGGAACATGCTTGGGCGTCAAAACAAATCCATCTTTTTCACACGACCGATCGATGTGTGATAGCTGTAGATGCAGACTTGTCAAGAACTTTTCTCACACTTGCGCGTTCGTCTTTTCCGCACTTTTCACTTGCTCCGATGACAATAAGAAGACGGTCAATCGAAAGGCAATGCATAAGCTTGCGAAGAACGCCAAATCAGACGGCTAGTACAAAACGTGATTGTCCATCGAGTCAATGATGGAGTCATGTTGCGCAGTGGCTGAAGTTCTACGAGCCCGATCTACAAATCCAATCTATCAGTAGAGGTCAGCATTGCTTATATATGATGTCTCATTTGTCTGCAACTTTACCTCCACGTCAGCCAGAGTCGACCACACAAACGACGTAAGAGAAAGGTCTCTTAGTTATACAGACACTGTAGCGCAAGGCGCTCGCTCAATAATGATTTTCGACTTCGTATACGCGCACAGTGTGCAGTTCTGCTCCAGAATGATTGCGGACAGCCCGTCAAGAGCACGTTGTGCAATCCATCGAGTTTAGTCCCAGTTGAAAATGAGAAATAATTATGCATAGAATCCAGTAGGCTTAGTGTAGCAGCTTGCAGTCACTTTTGTATTCTCCGTCAAGGCATTACATCCCAGGCACCACAGACACCGTCGACACTTGTGCGGTAGCAGGATGGGCGACAAAAGATATTGACAGATGAGGTCCCTGATCGATAAGAAGGATTATGAAGGCCATTCATCACATATTTTTCGCTGACCTGGGCAAAGGACCAGGACCAGGAATGATCGCACCAGTTACATCACCTTGTAGATATGTGTCTTTTATTGCCTATAGCCCATCGGCGCCTTGCGAGAGCTACCAAAGGCTCTACCGCGGGATTACATGCTTTTCTTAGCCAGTGTCCTAATAGTGTTAGTCACACACTTGTGCAGATCATGTTTTGCCATCCTTTGTGAGCAAGCAGTGATGTAGTTGACGGGTCTACAACAGCACATACGCTAACGAGATCGCGAGAGACAGCCACCATATATCAAGCATCCATTGTGCGGGGAGCGCAAAACAAAGCCAAAAGACAGTTGACGCTGAATGGGGATCCTCTTCTTATCATTTCTATAGGTGAGTCTTGGCTAAAAATTTAATAACACGATAATCAACATAAAACGCCGCTCGCCTATATCGACTATTTGTATTCTCTGCACAAGAAGAGTTAGCAGCACATATACAAATCACACCATCAAAGTTAGAATTAGTGCGAGACTCGCTTGACGAGGTAATTTTTGTAAAATATACAGTTTTTGACCAGTTATTCGAGTTCATGACACACCAGTGCAACTATTGTTACAGCTAAGCTCGGACCTCACCTTATTGGCTGATACGTGACAACTTGAAAGACGGGACGAGAGGATCGGTCACCATGGGATATCAGCATGATGTTGTGGCATGAGGAACTGAGAGATACAAACGCCATGTGGGAGTGAGATATAAAAGCATCATGTGGTCCCAGTACGTGACGATAAGCGGACTGGACGTGCGCGACGCGCAACTTGACCTGGTCAAGTTACAGTGCACATTATTTGCATATCGTAAAGTGGACTGACGAGATCAAAACCGGATAGAAGTCACTTTCTCTACACCCTTTTGCGCAAGCTCAACCACTACATACTTTCTACAATTCCTATTTCGATATTGGAAGAGCAGTCGTTATAATCTCCCGCTTATGATATTAAAGATGCAGTCCCTGTTTGATTGTCATCTTGCATGATCAATCTCCTTATGTAGATAACACGACTTGAGCTTTTTTAAGATATAAGATCATTTGCACACAAACATACACAGGTCCTGCCTGACCTGTTTAATTATGTACAGCCTTGCCCGATGGTGATGTCAATTTGGTCACGTCAAAGACTTGCGTTTTGCAAGGCTCACTGTCACCAAATTTTACAGGTAAAGACAGACTGGTCTTGTCCTGTTGATAAATACAACAATATTACATAGATTTTGATCGCAATCTGAATATATAAGGTTAAAGAACATTTTCATTACTAAGGACGTATTATTCCAAATATGAAAAAACCCTCGCTCAATAATCACCTCGTGAACAAGAAATGAGTAAATATTGTTAGAGTACTGCGAAAACATAATACACCATTTACAAGAGGAATAATTATACTTAATATAACATAAAGGTAAACTTGGAATATTTTGATCAATTGTGATATCCATATGCGAGGAAATTTATAAATACAAGCAGATACATCGTTATCATACAATATCATTGGCCAATATCGATATTGTCGTTTACATTTATCTAGATGCCGTAGCAAATATATAAGAAGTGGGCTTGCCGAAGACGTTTGAGTATTACTCCTTTCGATCAACTTGTGACAGCTGGCGACTTTTAAAATTGTAGTCCCGCAAAAAATATTATTACAGCGCAAGAAATACCATCACGTGTTTTGCAAGAACACCGACTACGTCGTGCGTGTGAACTGATAGGTTGTCAGTATGCTGACACACGTATGACCAGTATTTTTTAGTTTTCAGCATTCCGAGTCAATAAATACAATGAGCATTGCCCGTTCCTGCTTTCCCACCATATGCGGACCGCTTGCCCATTAAAATAGCCTTCATTCATTTGCCCATTTCAATCCTGCATTCGCTTGCCTTTTTTGTCATATTTGTGATTTCATACATAGCAGTTGCAGCAACATTGATGACGAGTGACAAAGAGCAGTGCGCATTTAGTGCTTTCGGTGATGATAATAAGATCCATACGGGGAGTAAAATTATGATCAAAGCAACTACTGCGATTTCAAAAATGCAATGTGACGCAATCAATTTCACAATAGGTTCTCGTCGACGAAATAATTGTAAATAACCCCTAACTTTGTCGATAAGAAGCTAGAATGAGGTACTCACCGCTGGGATTGGCATGATGGGTCAGCAATACCGGCTTATATATAGCAAAAAACTGTTAAATAATGGTAGAAATGGAAAGAATTGTCATCTACTGCAGCGGGTGATCTACTAGCAAGAGGCTCAGAGATGGCAATCTAGTTTGCGAACTAAGGACATCATTGTAATCACTTTGCATACACCATCAAACCCACACCATCTTAGCTTTCTAATACGAGATACCTAATCGCTGCCGATATCTACAACAAGCAATCGTCTTTCTCGTATCTGATCGAGAAAAGGCCGTCAAAAGCAGTCTGCACGCAAAAATTGTACATTCGTTGCGCAATAAAAAAACTATTATGCACACACGTGTTCCGCCGACGTCATTTGCTCTGCTATTTTGCCGATGAATGACCACTATAGGAGTCTCGACTTTGCACAATTGATGAAGTCTTTTCTTCTGAAATTGCAGCCATAGGAATGTCCATGACCAATAGCCGAAGAGTGACTTTCGTGATCATTCGTGCGATCCAAGGGATAAGCATACGTTCAACGCTTAACACATATGCTGCGTAACGTTCTCGCTAGACTAAATACGAATTTCTAATAAGATGTAATGCACACTACAGCGGTACTACACCATATTTAGTCGAGCAACAGAATTAAATCACATAACTAAGTTTATTGTTGTAGATTTGTAATGCAAGCGCTCAAGTATCACGTATCGAGAAGTATATAAGAGCAGTACAATAGAAATCTGAGTGAGGAATACTCAAGGATAATTCGGATAATTCTGTCGGTGGAATCCTGGCTATTACATGCTATCGAAATGGAACATCAAGATTTGATTTAATTGGGTTTGGCATTAATTAAGATAGGTAACTGAAGTAAATTCTATTGTTCACAATAATCGTCAATCAGGCAACACTACGTTAGTGATATTCGACATGAATTGGGAATTGGTATTGCTATGCAGGAACCGGTATCATACA